TTTTGTGATTTTTTTATGATTATTACTTTATATGTGATATTATTTATTTATTCATCAGTACATATATGTTTACAAGTTATTTTTTATGAGATTTATTTTTAAGCTTTTAAAAATCATGACAATAAACATGTTGATCACGTGACGGAGTAAAAAGATGTGTCAACCTTCCCTTCCGACTCCGAGATGCTGTATGTAACTACCAAAACAAACACAATAGTCAACACACTCGTGCAAAAACGAAGGGAAACTCTAAATAAAACCTTATCCTGTAAAGCACGAAGTTGTTATTTCGATAAGTGATTTATCTATTCGAAAGCCATGAAAGTCGAGATCGCGACTCTTTCATAAAATACAATAACTCCCAAAATACCGCAATTGTAATCTGGTCACGTGTCGACAGATCAAGGTATGCCGAGCACAATTCCTTCTCACGATTTGCCCAAGATCTGACAACCGTGATGAATGGCCACAGTTGGCTGACAGGCGAGGATAAAACTTTGGGAAGGCTCCTACTTACAGGATTATGCCTAGGCATACATACATGTAGGTACAGTGCTCTATTGAGAGTAAAAAATCTCGCGAAATAGATGTACCTAACATAGTTTTATCTACATACAAAAGACAAGGTGTAATAAGTTTAAATTCCGATATTTATCTGGCATCACAGCTCTAAAATGAGTAAACCAATTTCAGGGTGGTCTTAAAAGCTAACTTAAGCGGTATTTTAGAAATAATAATAGAAAAGTTACAATAATATAACCTATTGTTAGTGTATTGTGATTGTATAGATAATATATAGGTAGAATATATAGGTTTTAGCAGTGCATATTCACAACAACAGCAAAGCAATGATTCTAATATAAACTACGAATATGTTTACTAGTGATATTTCTCTCCTGTTTCTTCTCTTTCGATCATCTTCTCATTAAGATAAAATAAATGTTAAGGAAATCACAATTTAGTAATTACAGTTTACCACGGAATAAGCACTAATACAGTTCTAGACGAGTTGTAAACGAATCTATTTGTGACTTTTTGTTAGCAATTTTTTTTACACAGGGGATAAGGGAACAAGAGAACAAGGAGGGTAAAGGTAAGTAGTATGAGCATCCACAACACTAGAGGAATAGCAGGTGTGCTGCCAGCCTTTTAATGTAAACATAACGTCAGACATTGCTATCTCGTTCTATATCATGTAGCGTTAACGTATCTATCTATAGATTCGTTTGCCACTTATTTAGAGATTAGACTTTACGTCTCTATATCTCTTACATATCTCTTAGAGACTAACAAATAGATGGTGATGTCTTTATAAATTATGTTCCTGCTAAATATGTTACGAGTATTAATCTATATCCACTTCAAATCAATTAAACTATTATGAAAAGCTGAAGTGATAGTAGATACATAATTAAAAACAGCTACTTGAAATGAGAGATTAGAGTTATGCAGAAAAATTCATCTTTTATGGACATCTCACGAGGGATGGCTCTTTTTTGCATAACTAGCTCCAAATTGTAGTATATCCATGAACTTTATATAAATCTAATTATATAAGTTACAGTATACCATCTCAAATCTCTAGTGCTTTCATCATATTCTACATTGGTAATAACTAGAATTAATTTTTACCTTTACTTTTAAAGATCGAGTTGCCTTTTAATATACTGCTTATTAATAGCGTAAAATTCAATATATTTACAGATTGATGTACAAATTGACTTTTTAATTTTGGTGTAATATTTTCTAATACATTAATTATATAGTAAGCAAACTAAATATAAAAAAAATATCAGCATAAGTGGCCATTTATTTTTTAGATATATCTTCAATCTTGCCTCTTATATTCTACCTCTAAAATTCTCTAATTTTAAGTGTATATAATATTTAAACTTTAAAAATACCTTTCACAATATACAATCCAATAATATGTACTTTTCCCTACATGTCATAAGTACATATTTTTACATCCCTTTATCAATAAACACTTAGGCGTTGATTTTTGCAAATTATTATAGAAATATTGTTAATTTCCACTAATTACTGTATGATTGAAAAAAAAAACGTATACACTCGTTTCGAAATTTTGCAATCACGCAATAATTATTACAGTTTTTTTTTATATTTAATAATATTTTACGTATTATTATTTAATATAATTGTCGGTATTACTATTCGTGTTTGATATTAAAGGCATTATAACTTGGTATCTCTCAGCAATACTGCAGCTTCATAAGACGGTAGCTCGTTATCAGCGCGTTCTGGTACCTGGCACCTGGGACATGGTTCTGTCACTACCTCCTGAAAGTATTTTGTTACATTAAAATTTAATACCCAAACAGTTAACAACCAATATACATATATCCTGCTAATACTATAAATGTCATTAATTGTTTGTTAACGTCCCAACGGATTTAGATCAAATTTGACGTAAAAATGACTGGTTATATTCTTAATTAACACATATACTTATTATTCCCACAAGCAAAGCAAATAATTATATTTTAAACCAACTTCAAAAAGAAGGAAGTTCTTAGTTCGGTTGTGTTTTTTTATGTTTGTTACCTCATAACTCTGTCAGTTATAAACCGATTTGAAAAAGTTTTTTTTTATCTAATAGGATATACTTACAGATTGATAGACAGATATTAGTAGTTTAGTTTTTAAATCAAAATAATTTCTTTTGCCACAACTGAAATCATATTTTTTTTTTTACGAATTACTATTTTAATTACTATTTGCAAAGGAAAAACTGCTATAATCTTTTATAAAAATTATCAAGAAATAGTTATATTGTTAATCATCTTATCTATTTAAAAAGTCGTTATCGTCCAGTTCATAATTCGTTTAATCCTTTTAATCGATAACCTGCTAAGCAATGTTATATTGGATATAAAGTCACAACAGTCACGTGTATTTGGTTGGAGTCGTACCTTATCTGACTGACATGCAAACACAACTTCAACCTGTCATGTGTGATTAATGTTTTTGGAAAGCATTGCCAGTATTTACTACTTAAAATGTTTATATTGTGATATCGCTACATATTATTATTGTAAATTAATGATCCGGTACGCACGTGTAGATTTACCAGAGGGAGACTTTGTATAAAAGTCGATTGCTTGGGTACCTCTGTCCCATTCGTGTTTCTACCGTGAAGCTGTTGTGTTTGCATGGCTGTATTTCAGTTTGAAGGGTGATATATGGCGTGAATTTACAGGGCACAGAGGAATAACATCTGAGTCATCATGGGGCGAAACAGTATACTCTGTTATGTCCATGGTACTGCTCATGTCTATAGGCGTCGGTTACACTTCCCATCAGGTGGGCCGTCAGCTTGTTTGCCATTCTAAGTCGTATAAAAAAAGAAGCAATAATATATTAAAAAAAAACATAGAGTTTACCTGTAGCGCGTGGCACTTTTGGTGTGTAGAAGGTCCATCGACGACGGTGTCATAGGCTGGCGGTGGACCAGGTAACTCCATTTGTGTCTGTTTAAAAAATGTAAGTTTCAATTTTATATTTATTTTTTAACCGTATGGGGAAAAAATAACACAAAGTATGCAATTATGCAAACTCCACAATATAAACTTTTACCATAGATTGTCACAAATAATCTTAAGAGACTCAGAATATAGCGGTCTAGCATAACAATACTACGCTTGCATATACCAGATTGTCATGTAAAAACTTTCCGAAGCTCGAAGGATCAATTACAAATAATTGGTCCTTCGAGCCATGTGACGCGTGTTTGCCGCTTCGGCACTACGAGTAGTTTCCATTGCTGTATCGTTGTTTCTAATTATATCACGCTATGAAACTTCTGTAAGTCCACGATGTCACAAGTCATCGCGTGATAACCTAAAACTTTTAGACTTCCAAATGCCACCTAAAAGCTAAATACAAGGGTCGATTCTGAAACAGTTCCCTTAACTTATTTGTAAAATTAAAACGTTAATAATTTAATGAAACTATTATGTTACGGACCACTGAGAAGTAAAATGTAAAGAAGTTTTAACTTCATTTATGATGACCTTATAATAATGATTTTATTATAATATCGAACTACAGTTTTAATGAAAAAGATAATGAATGGCGCTTCAAAAGCAACACCTTAATTTTGCACGCACTTTTTTTATTAGACAGCTTAGATTTATCTATAAATGTACGAAAGTTATTGAAATGTATCCATTGCTTATTAAAAAAAAAATGGGCTGGGTAAAACTTTCATCATCAGCAACACATTTTTCCCCCTCTATTCTGGTATTTAGTTGTCACACAAATATTCATATCTACATTTTTTTTTGTATTCTCTCTTGTTGGGTATTTTTAGAAAGAATTAGAAACTAAGAAAATATTACAGCACGGTAGCCAGTTTGCTTTTTGCGGAGCAAAATCTTAAATATGTTCTAAGTCTTAACAATTCCATGTTTTAAATAAACTATACAATACTGTCTCCGAGTAAACTTCTATACTCATGAACTACTTTACATTTTATTAGGTTACTAGTTTTTTGTCCACTACTTCATACGTGGATATCAGAAATAGGAAATCAATAAAGTAGACCACTTCTATATGGCGTATTATTATAAAACATACACCTGTTTTTAAGTTAGATTTTCAGAGACCTAACTGTAAACAAATTCGTGCAGTATTTTGGAGTGATGCCGAAACAAACATACAGACAATATTTCTAAAAATTATTGTTTTGCCTTCCATTGCTTTTTGAATAAATGAATGAATGAATATTTATTTGCATAAGATTCCTTTTTAGAATATCTCTATCATATTAAATTAGTAAGATTTTAGATATCCTGTTATTATCTCATCATTTATTAGTCTTAAATAAATTATGTTTTTCCTAAAATTGTTTCTGGTATACGGAATTATAAATTTATATTAAAAAAATTGTTTTTAGAATAAAATCACCTATATTATAATATTTATTTAATTTATTTTATATATTTACCTATACATATTATTTCTTCTTCTTGTTTCAGATGCTCAAATATAGAAGACTGCCTTGAGGCCTAATTTTTTTTATTAGTATGGTGAGTGCCACATTATTACCATGATTAATACCTAATGTTAGGTTTACTTTAAGAAATATGTTGTTAAGTTCCATGTTTCTAACTGTAAGTTCAATCAATCAAATTCAGTCACTAAATTATAAATATGTTTATAGTCTTCCCACTTTTTTACATTAATTTCGGTACTTGTATAGTTTTAAAACATAATATTATAATTTTTCTAATAATAAATTTTTATTCAATTAGCCTAGGCTAGACCTTTCCCTCTACTTGCAACCTCGCACTTTCGCATTGTAAATGTGTTTAGTCATTTTCCCCTCATGATTATTTCATATCATATATAATTCCCGTAATAATCAATACTAATGTATTGTAGTACGGCATGATATCGTAAGATTTTACTGACACCATATATAGGAGGACCGACTATACGGATCTACTCTTTTATCTACTATCCACCAGGATAAAGATAACCTATGTCCGTCATCCCTAATGATACGTCTACCTCTTAGATTATATGGATAGAGTGTGTCCATACAAATACATCGAGAAAAACGGATCAACTTTTTCATACAATTTTGCGTGATAAATAATTATGAGTGATTCCTTTATAACTTCTATATTTACTTTGTCTTATAAAATTTGCATCTTTTAAATGCGAAAAAACTAATTTTATTTATTAAATAATTAAATATAGATACAACAAGGGACATTATGTTCGTAAGTATATAGAACACCAGTAAAAAACTAGTCAGATAGTTTGACAGTTAGTTGACAAAAATTTAACCCATTTTGAGGCTCGATGCTCTATCTATATAATCCCTATCTATATCAAATCATGATGATTAGTTAATTGCTGAAACGTCGAGATATATAAAAAATCCGCCGTTTCATTTATAATATTAGTAAGCATTATACGAAGACACACACATGCAAGGAAATTAAAAACATATCCCTACAATTATATATATTTTTCCGTGTGGTACTGACATAGAATGGGCTATTCCTTCCTTTCCCGTGGTTGTCGTATAAGGTGACTAACGGAACTTAATGGTCAAGTGATGAGACAGCAACGTCCTTCTTAAAACATAACCAAAGCTTAACTGCGGTTATCAATTCGCCTACCAAGCATGGTAACTACTGGCAAAGCTCCCTTTAAGGGGGGAGGAGGGATGATAATATATTTTACTATTGTATTATATCGCGACGGTAAAATATCAATATGTTACGATGGTACGATATCGTGTCGTGCTACAAAATAAATAAATAGTAAATTATAAAAGCACCCTTCACATTTCACAAATTAGCGAGTGTCAGTTATACTATAACGAAATCGACATTCCCAAAAGTCACGTTATAATTAGTTTTAAATGAGTTAACTTTTATTGGAAGCGAATGCGAACGGGCCCTGGCGACCGCAGGCCGGCTGACCGCATCGAGACAGACTCCGCACTCCAGCGCAAATAGAACAATTTAAATGGCATTTCAGGATTGTGCTGTCACGAGATTAGGATTTGGTTTCAATGATAATAAATGTATATTGAGTTGTTGTCAAGACACTGGTTATCAAGCACCAGCCATAATGTAGCTCCAGCTTAAAATTATCTTTTATGCGAATTTTGAGCGATTTCAAAAAGTAAGAGGAACTTAATTCACCTACTTTTTTATAGGGTTCCGTAACTCCAAAGGAAAAAATGGAACACTTGTAGGATCACTTAGTTATCCGTTCGTCCGTCCGTCTGTCAAGACCCTTTTTCTTAGGAACGCGTGGAGGCATCAAGTTAAAATTAAAGTCTGCAATCTCTTAAAGCAGTGAAAAAAAATAAAGCTTCTAAATCGACGCAATCAAAGGATACGGCCGTTTATGTTTTATTTATATCGAAAATTTTGACATTCGCAAAGGGAATCAAAAACTATAGGGTACTTTCCGTTGACTTAGAATTATGAAATTTGGCAAGACGCAATGTAGCACAAGTAAAGGAAAAAATGCGAATATCGTAAATTTACAAAATAAAATGTTTAAACTTGATGATTTTGTACGGAACCCTCGTTGCGCGAGTCCAACTGGCACTTGACCGACTTTTTTTGTTATCCAATATCTCTGCTAACTTCAGCAATAGAGGTAGCTGTTTAGAAATATCTTTTATGAAAGTTTTTAAGCAATTTCAGAAACAAGAAGTTTTTTTAATGTAGTCGTATTATTTTTATGTTACGCGATATCTTTGACCTCTGTGATGCAGCAGTAGGCATAAAGCTTTGCGTAACGACGTTCGGGATTCAATTCCCTGTCGGGTCAATTTAGTAAACGTACTTTTCTAATTTGACTCTGGTGTGGGTTTTCTGGGTTGTGCCACAAATATTCTTTGTCTATTTCCTTATAACATAGTTTCCTAGCTTGAAGGTCCACGAAATTATAATGTGGTTATAAAAATTGTTATTTATCTACGCCAATTCCTTTAATTGTATTTTTATTCGATAGAATTTATTCCCGCAATGATCGCGTATTATTATTGTCACGGTTGAAGTAGCTATCTCATTCTATCTCAAACATGAGATAGAAAAACTATCGATAGATTTGTTTGCTTGTTTAAGGGAACTGGTAGCTTTTTTTATTCTTAACGAGGCAAACGAGCAAATGGTTCATCGATGTAAAAATGGAAAGTGACTACTGTCACCCATAAACACCTGCAACACAAGAGGTGTTATTTCTGCGTTCCCGGCTTTTTAAATGTTTACAATCACGTTTTTTGAAATGCCCCATATTATATTGTAAGAAGAAAACTAAGGATGGAAGTTCATTCTACAACCTAGATATATGCGGTAGACATGAACAGGATTGCACGGACAGTGATAGTATGCCATGCACCCAAGAAATAAAGGTGAACTCCAGCTCTATGGCGAAAGGTACGGTGATAAAAACATGAAGGCATCAGGTCATGTAATACCTAATAATACTTTGGAATATCCCCCATTATGCAGACGATAGAATATGGTTTTCATGAATACATGCAAAAACAAAGACATGACATAGCAGGCGATTAGAAAGCAAACTATAAAGAAAGGCACTGCTATGAAATATGATTCAAAAATTGCTGGGATTTTTTTTAAAAGAAAAGCAAAACAAAAACCTACAATTTATTACGTAGGTATAAAAAAAGCAAACGTAATGGAAACTAAAGTGATGGATGTCCCAGTCAATATTAATTCGATTGAAATCTGATACAGATGAGTTACTTGTGTGCACAGTTAATGTCCAACCCGGTTTTGTACCTACTCCTTTCGGTTGATAAAAAAAAGTTGTGATATCATTTCATAAATCTGTCTTATCTATATGAAACTGTCGTGCTTATCAGTAATTATTCGGGTTATTTTTAGAGATGGGCAATCCACCTGGGTGGGTTTAAAGTCTGGTGGGTAAAAACCGGGTGTTTTGGGTTTATTGGGTTTAAACCCCATAAACACCCAAATTTTTGGGTGTTTATGATTTTGTACTTCATCATCGTCATCTCAGCCGCAAGACGTCCACTATACTGGACATAGACAATATTATTATGCAGCCTACAGAATAAAAAACTTTTAATTTGATTTTGAGTTTATTAAGAAAGAGATGAAAGTAAAATGTAAAACTACAGTCAATCACTGTCAGATTCAGAGTTATTACAAGCGATGAATTGTATAGGTTCGATAGGCTCTATTTCGTCTAAACTGTTATGTTCATTTACTTGCTCAATGAAAGCTTCTAAGGTATTTTCTTCATTAAACTGAATGTCCTCGCATTCAGCTTTATGTTTAAGATTCCAGTTATAACAAATGAATGAAATTTTTTCAGTTCTTTCAGTTGTAAGTCGATTTCTTTTGTTATTATGTATGTAGCCTTGGATACTAAAGGAACGCTCAGTGGCTGCCGAAGTACAGGGAGCTGATAGAATACGAATCGCTACTTTGCTTAACTCAGTGGAACCACAAATACCTTTCCACCATATTAGGGGCTCAATGCTATCTAATGAGCTCCATACAAATCCTCTGGCCCAAAAGTTTTCTTTAGCTTTATAACACGCCAAATCTGCCATTACATTTGACAAACTTAAGTGTTGGCTTAAATTGTAGATAAACTCCATACCCTTAAGTTCTTCCTCTTGAGTAAGTTCGACTCCTAGAGTCCTGGGGTCTAGAATATATGCTGCAAAATGTATTGGCCTCATTGCCATATTGCATCTTGAAGATACTGATGTTAGAATCTGCTGTTTGCTTTCTTCGCTCAATGTCGAAATCTCATTTAATGCAAAACGTATCTTAGCTTGTACATCTCTAAATGTAATGTATGTGCGATGCAAACGATTCTGGTCGCTCTCTAAGTAAAATATGCTTTCAGTGACTGGTTCCAAAATACTTATACATTCCCCTGTCTTCGTCCAGAAATCATCACTTAGAATTAAATCTTTAATATCTCTTGAAATTACCACATCTTCTCTAACTGTTAATATTTGCAAAGCTATCTTATTTGCTTTCAAACTTTTTAACGAAGTAACATGACTTCCCCATCTTGTAGCACAAGGCAATTTTAGTGTTTGTGTAGAATCTTCACCCTGCCTTGATTTTATCAACAAGGAACTTAATCGTTGACTCCTTTTAACAGTTTTTATTATATTTATGGCTTGCATAATAAACACAGTTACTTCTTGTATCTTTACAATATCTTGGCACAACAAGTTAAGGATATGTGCACAGCAACCGAGAGGAACAACATGTGGATATTTGAGTTTTGTTAATTCGAATGCCTTTTGTATATTTCTAGCGTTATCGCCAATAAGTACAAGAAACTTATTTGCTCCATACACTTTCATTACTTTTTCAACTTCTTGGCTAAGGTATTCACTAGTGTGAGGATTACTTTCTGTATTCAAACTTTTAACGTATGCAGGTTGAGGTTTTGATATAAGAAAGTTTATTATTCCTTCATTTCTTAAATTAGACCAGCCATCGCACTGAAGGTGTAAGTAACTACAAGCATTTAGTTCCTCATTTAACTCAAAACGCATTTCTCTATATATTTTATCTAAGTATTTTGTCGCTAAAGCTTTACGTGAAGGTATTTTAAATTTTGGTTGCAATTTTTCGAAAAATTGTATCCATAAAGGATGTTGCACCATCGATAATGGCGTCCCTGTTACAAATATAGCTCTCGCTAATTCTGTTTTTATATGATCATCGGTGTCTTGAAACTCAGCATTTATTGTAGTGTTAGCAGACGACGAGGGGCTTATAAAAGAATCATTTGTCTCTATCTCTGACAGTCCAGACATTTTGGTTTTGGACGAGCTATCTTTTATAAGTTTCATAGAGTCTTTTAATGTTTCTGGAGATTTTGGACAAGTGATAAGATGTTGAAGCATTTTGGCAGCATTACTGAATTTGTAGACCTTATTACAAAGCTTGCAAGAAACAGACTTGTTTGGTAAAGTACGGTAGTGCTCCCATATGCGTAAATCTTTAGGTCTCCCCATTGAACCTAAAAAAATGAACGATGATTAGTTGGTCTGACGAAAATTCAACAATAGAGTGCCTATTTTTTTACAATGATTATTTCTTGTTATTTACAATAAATTTATTAAAAAAATAATAAAATAAATACAAAAAACCTTTGTAAAATTACATCTCCTCGGAGGATTAAACGCAGACGCTAGTTTATTATCGTATTGTTCTGTATTTTTCTCAGCAACTTCTTTAATTCGATTAGGTACTTACGCATATTATGTTAAAAATAAATATCTAGTACACATCTTAGGCTATCCACCATTATTATCCAATGACGACTCTCAGCTAACTATGCACTATCATCCAAAATAAACGTGTATGGAAAATTTTATCCCAGTCGGTTGAGGATTGAGGATAATTGCATCAACATACGAACATACCTACATACTTTTATTTACATAACGCAAGCTAAATAAAAGCTTGTAATAATACATCTAATTTTAAGTTAAAATTGTTAAGTGATCATGATATAATTGTATCATTCAAAAATCCACTTACCTTTAATTATTTCTTGTTAAGTATAAATATTATTTCAAATCTGCTCCCTTAATATGCACTTTTTTACTGCTTTTCCTACCTAACACGTTACCAGGAAGTCACGTTACCAGAGTCAGAGTAATAGTGAACACGTTTGACAGTGATTGTCGTCGCCTCATATTCAGCGTCGACGAATAGGGGAATCCCCAGTCATAATGTATTGCATGCGTGGCGGTCTTACTTCAAATCCATAAACAAAGAGATAATTACAGAACTCGATACTAGATGGCGCTGTTTTTGTTTGAAGAAAGTTTGCGGGCTAAAATACATAGAATTTCATCAATGACTTCCACAAAGAACAACATTTCTGTTTTTTCTAAGTCCGTATCTCTTCCGTATATTTCATAAGATATAAGCTTGGGCTACATTGTTATGCAACGTGATTTTGTCGCTGTCTTGCTAGCAGGGTTGACAGATATACGATTTAAATCGTACTCATACTATTATTTGTCTATTTTTTAATGTACGATCGTAAAGATTATGATCGTAATTCGCACAAAAACATACGACTTTTTGGTTACCTGGCAACATTTTTATTATGAAACGAACATGCTCACATCATCAGTCACATGCAACAATTTATTGGGGATTTCCCCTTCACATCTGGCAGTCCTGCTTGCTAGAATATAGGTAAGTCAGCCACAGTTACTGACGATCGATATTTAAAGGGTATTGTTTTTGTGCTAAATATTTCATAAAAACGTTATTTAATACTTTGTGGATTATTAATTTAGTTGATAATCACTGGAAGTAAAATGGATGCTAATTTGAGAGATCAAGATCTTCGTATAAAACAGTTAATAAAAGAAAATCTACGTAAGTACTCTTTTTATACCTAGGTAGGTAAGGTATAATAAACACAAAAGGTACTTAGATCGCGTGTGTTCGAAGCATTTATTCTAATAAATTTAATTTAAAATTGTAGAAAGAAAAAAATGTCTGCCAAGCCGTAGCCGAAGCCGATCTCCAAATATATTTGGCGATAGTGAGACCCAGTGTCCAGATGATTTACCCAGCGTCGTCGCAACAAAGAAAAAAACGAGGATAAAGTAAAAGAAAATTTACTGAAAGAAGAAACAAACTGTTCTAAATGCTTAATTTATGGAGAAGAGGATAAAAGAAATGAGTATTTCGGACTGTTAGTGGCTCAAGAATTTAAATATATACGGCCATGTGTGCGAACGAGGTGTTATGAAGAAATTTTAAAGTATCTACGGGAAGCAAAAGGCCAACATGTTGATCAACTGCAACATGAAAACACTGAAAATTAATTACTTTCATTTTATTATATATAGATTTTTAAAATTTCCTGAAATATTATTAGTTAACGTTTTATTTAATATTGTAGAATTGATCAATACAATTTATAAAAATAATTTATTGGTATTACTTACATATTTTCAAAAAAATACGTAAAAACCTATTTTTTTGGGTGATTATGGGAGTTTATGGGTGTTTATTGGGTTTTTACCAAAGCACCGGGTTTAAACCCGGTGCTTTGCCCATCTGTAGTTATTTTACTTTTTACCAACATTATGCTGCTCTTCATGTCTATAGGAGACGATTACCGCTTTCTGTCAGGTGTGCTATTGACTTTTTTTGTCATTCTAAGTATCGTAAAAACGTTAGGTAAATGTGAAAGTTTATGAAGATAAATTATTGGACTAGCTTTTTGTCCGCTACGTGGTACACGTGGATTAGGAAAATCAATGAATTAGATAACTTCTAGATTGTATATCAAGATAAAACACACACCAGATATTAAATTAGACCTTTCCCGTGGATATCGTAAGAGACGACTAAGGAAGTTAAATGGTAGAGGGACGTGCAGCAGTCCTTCTTAGTAAAGTCCTTCTTCCCTGTGTCCCTCTTAAAATATCACCAAATCCTAACTGCGGTTGCTAACCCACCTGCCAAGCGTTACAAACTGCTAAAAGTCTGAAAGTGTGCTATAACTGTTGTTATTTAGATTGATTTTTAATTTAACATATAAGATGTAATAACTTATGCGATAAAAACCATAAATTATTGGTTCTAAACCATATTTTTTAAATAAAGAAAAATAATTTTATTCAAGTAAACTTGAATTGTAAGCATTTTTGAATGGCCTTTTTATTATAAATCTACAGCTCAGTTTAGAATGCATATTCAGCTGTGGAGAATGGATATTTATTTATTTAACATGTAGGTATTCATACCACTCTTGACCAGTTTCTTATCTAAATAGATAAGAAACTGGTCAACAGTCTGTAAATTCTTATCTGTCTTGATCTAGATTTACCAAGTTCTCTAATTGGATAACACGGTCTCTTTTATACGACAACAATGTCTGCCTCCAAAACTTGCCTATGCTCGAATAATTTTACTGGAATCGAATTCTCGATGCATCGCATGATTAATCGAGTTAAGGGCTAGAATTCGAGGCATGGCGTAGATCGTATGAGAACAATGCCTGCACTCAAGGGTTCATGTACCTACGTACGTACGATTCACGGTATATTGAAATAGTATCTATAGAAAATGTTTAGTACATATTTAGTATTATAGATGTACTAGTTTTTATCCACGACTTCACCTACTTTGATTGGTCGAGGTAATAAACCCTTCTCCATCACAAATACTAATTGTATACCAACTTTAAATTAGTTGTATCGTTATAAGACGTTACAAATTAACACTCGTTTTCACATTTATGATAGTAGTAACAATCGATTACAACTATGCTTAAATCCGAAAATAACACAACAAATTAGCTATTCTGTTTTACCTAATTATAATTTATATTAATTGCTTTTCTTAATGAAATGTATGACTGACCTCGTGGTAAATTAAGAATGTACTGGCTCTTAAAATAGAACAACAACTAGTACCTCATAAAATTTACATGAAGCTGTTATAGTAATTAATTTTCAAAATAAATTCAATGCATGTCGACAACTCTGAACTAATTCGAATGTTTCGTTGCGCAGATACAAATCTTATTTATACTTGTATATTGTCTAATTAAAATTATAAGTCGCTCAAAATTTTTGGTGAATATGTTCATTTTCACTCCCGTCAAAGTATGCTAACGATTTCACTCTATATATACAAAGAATTACAAAAACAACGAACGTATAATAACAATCTACATCCACGAATATAGATAAAGAATATTAAAACTAGATCAATAGCACCAAGAGTCTTAAAAATATACATTTAGACAGCCTTAAACCGGCCTACATACTGACTGACCCATCCTCTTCGCCTCAATCACTACCTATTCCTACTCCCATTTCCACTCCCACCATTCCACCTAACCCAGATCCTGTTCAGCAGGATAAACCTGCTCAGGATACCATTAAAAAGACTCGTTCGGGACGCGTAGTTCGATTTCCTGACTACTATTGCCCATAATTCCTCTGACTACCCAATCATGAAATGTGGTCGTGAGCATATTTTTTCATCGCCCGTAGTTACGGTCTTTGGAGGGGAAGTGATATAGGATACTCATACATACGCCTACATAATTATTATATAATATAATTATAATAAACACAAACATACTGGTGACCCTTCAAGGACACGAAATTCATCATGAGTGACAGCAGTGATTCAAATAAAACCATACATACAGCCATACCATCAACACGCACCTCACATCGACATCCATATACATTAAGAAACGTACTCTCCAATAAACATAGATAAATAATATTAAAATTAAAACCATCCCACGAACGATCTGAGAAATCAACAAAACTTTCTAAGACGTACAGAATACATACCACAGAATAAATAGTACAAGTAGTTAAACGTGGTACATTTATTTGGCCGTTTCGGCGCGCTAATACCGCACTCGGATCGTTGCTCGCCAGCCCAAAACCAATTATCGCAAATGCGATTTTTATTTGGAACCAACCGACGTCGATCGTTAAATCCGCGGGAACGGATCTTTACCCCTGGGGGTTGCTCGTGGCTAGTACGAGTTCTGATTAGAGAAATGAACAAAATGTTAACGTGCCGATATTTCAATAAATTGTTGCAATCAAATCCTTAAATTGGTTTATTTTCTTGTACAATCCAAAAGAACTCATAATTTTCACTTATAGAATATAAAGATCCATTCCAAAATAAGGAAGTAAAATATTATCTTCAGTTATTAAATAAATACACATAAAGTTAACAGAAAATTGAAAAGGTAACCATCTGTTGAGTCTCTTGTAGTTTCCTCTTAATAACTTTCCAAAAGTAAAATAAACTTTTTTAAGCGTACTTTAATAAAATTTATTTTGATTTGATTTAATTTAATTAATTAGAGAACAAAATTCTTACTAATATTATAAATGTGAAAGTGCGTTTGTTTGTCGCCTTTTAGTGTCTTAACGTCTTAACCAATCACTATGAAATTTAATATACACGTATTATATACTTTTTATTCCAGTTACTCGAACAAAGTTACGGGTAAAAGGTAATATACTGTAAATATAATGAAACTGCGAAATAATTATAAATAATGAAATGTAACTGTAGTTAATTTGACAACTATACAATTTACAGCACGAAATGTTAAGCACAGTTTGACATTCAGCAATTTCAGTTAATCAACCCGGCGGCACATGAAGTGTGACTTACTAGATTACCGACTCCAGTTGCCCTCAACTCAGTATAGAGAACGCGAAAGCTGTAACAACTTACAATACCCGGCTTTAGGGGTGTTCTGACTAAGTTGCCAACTGTCCGGGTGCAAATCTGGTAACTAATCTACGCTGCAAATAACGGATAAAACATTATAAGCCATTGCAGTTACTTGTATTTCATGAATAAAATGTCATGACATTTTATTAATGAGACATTTAAATTCATCAGCGAATCAGCCTGTTAACTGACCACTTCTAAAAATAGGCCTCCCTCATAAAATAGGTTTTGCCAGTAGTTGCCACACCTTGCAGGCAGATTAGCAACCATAGTTACCCTTTGGTGCTATTTTAAGAGGAAGGCTGCTGCCCATCCCTTGACCATTAAATTCGTAGTCGCCTCTTACGACACCCGCAGGAAAGAAAGGGGTGACCCATTCTATACCGGGATCACACGGCATTTAGATTATGAACATTAAAATAAATACCAGTTACAAATCAACAAATCGGATGGAACAAATTATATTGCAATATGAGAAATATCATATTTTTTAAGATTTATGTGTTATTTCAGTCCACAATCTTGAGGTTTTAAGAGAACGCGTGAAAAAGCAGCTGACATGAGAGAGTCATGTAATGAATTAGGGTTACTTATGTGTTTATAGCTCTTGTACCAAATTTTATTTCTGCAACCATTTAATGTTCCACTTCATGTCTAGTATTTATAAAAAAGAAACCTGTACCTTTGTGTATTAATTTGTATGTATATCCGATTAGTAAAGACAATAATGATTGTCACTCTGAAGCGACCCTATAAACTTGTTTTTCTATGCATAATGGTTATTTTCTCAATAGTATTTTATACTATTTATAATAATAGTAATTCTATACTTAATTTGTTGTATAATATTTTGGGTTTAAAGTTAATTTGGTAATATTGCTTAAACTTTATTACAATGTGTTCGTATAATTAAACTTTTACGTAATAAAAGGTCAACATACATATTAATTTGAAATTGTAGATCAGTTTTCGTTAATCGTTTCTGACCCAATTATCGGTAATGCGATTTTTATCAGAACGTCTGCTGGGATCGAGTGTAGCCATTTCCATAAATATTATTGTTAACATGGGAAATCTAGCGAACGTTGTGAGTGCTCCATGTACTTGAAAATTTAATGCGGTTGAATAATGATTTCTGGTACGGTTTTTTTTACCCGATTGCCGAAGGTGGATGATGTTCGATTACATGATTCCCCGAATTTTCGGAGTGACGTACAGTCTAATCGGCTTGATGGATTTTTATGGGAATCCCTCCCATATTTCATTCCATTGGCCTTAGTGCCAATACTATGGGTTACATGTCGATGCTACACAAGCGACTTCAACTGTGAACACACACGCCACACTGATAAATGATGAGTTCTGTTTTTAATCAACGTTAACAGTTTAGGTATTTTTTTTTTCGCATATTTGAGGTAAAAATTTTTGTGTTCTTAAAATTTTGGACAAATGAAATTGTTGGGCAAATTTTTGTTGGGGAAAAAAGTGAAATGGTCTTGGAGAAATTGGGCAATTTTTAGGACAATTTTGGTATTTGTAAAGTGTATAGAAAATATATGAAGGCAAAACAGAGATGGGAGAAGAAATGATTAGGTTAATGTACTTAAAACAAGAAGTAGAAAGTCATCATTCAAGTTTTTAGTCATTCTCTTTATGGTACATGACAAAACGCAATAAAAACCTATACAAGTTTGTGATTGGGTCCTAGAAATCCTACTGATTTAGAAAAAAAATATTTGACGTTTGGTTAAAAATTTAAATATGTTTAATGTAACGCGTCTATCATTACATGCAAAATATTTGAATTAAATTTTGCATCGCAAACAGTTTAT